TGTGTCCCTGGGGCCCTGAGGGCTTTGGTGAGAGCTGGGAAGCACAGGAGGAGCATTACAATATTAAAGCACCAAGTGGTCATTCACTTTGAGGTTAGAGGATGTTATTATGCAGTAGGACTTTCTGGGTAACATCACTCGAGTAAGCTTACCCAGAAACCTCCTCATCAAAATGACAACTAGAAGTTGACCCAGTTGCAGCATATTTAAAATGGATACAGTTCTCGTCCTAAGATTTACTCTGTTCCCTCACTTATCTACTCCTTCTTATTTCATTCCCCTTTACTTCCTTCTGGTTTCCACCTGTGTTTGTCTTTATCATATTTTTTTTGCCATTTCTTTTTTTCTAATCCCACATTTTTTGTGCTCCTTCAATTCCATTTGCCCTTGCCAAAATTCAGTACCCACCTTTAGAGGGAAGGCAGGGGGACACCATTTTCCTGGGCTGAATAGCAGAGTAAATATGTTGCCTGTAAACATGTTGGTCATAGCAATGCACTAATTATGTGACACCACATAAAGGGTGGGGATAGCCTAGGGTAGCAGACCTGCCTTTCTGGCAGGGCCGAAATAGAAAAAGCCCTAACATCTGGACCAAAGGATGTGCTGGCTAATTCTCAGGCTAGCCAAATCTTTGCTAGAAAAACAGGAAAATAGTGCTGAGTCTTATTTAAATCAAAGCCAGTGTCTGACCTCACCTAATCACTTAAGACACCTTACAGTTCCCCCAAAGTGATTGCAAAGCACAAATTTCCCATCATCAAGTATTCTGTTTTCTTCATCAGAGAACAAGCAGGAAAAAAACCACAAACACATACTTGCCATATTCCCATTGAGTCCTGATCCTTTTTTCAGCCCAGACTTTGGCAGCTCGGATGTGTTGCTTTCAAGTAGAAAATTTTTCTATCAAAAGGAAATTCCTGAACAAGACATTCGTTCTTGGAAAGGCGAGTTGTTCTTCTTGATCCTGCTGAGCATGTGCACGCTGCTCTGCAAACAGCAGCAATGAGCTCTGCAGGTTTGGCCACGCTGTCAAGAAGCTTCCTCTCATCGGCTCAGGTTAGCAAAAGGGTGTGCTGAGGAAAACACCTTCCCTGACATACCAGTTGTACATTCTTCAGAAGGTCTCAACTCTTCCAAGCTCTCGACAACACACACTAACTCTCTTGAAACCCCATACTCACTTAGCCCTAAATGTTTTTCAAGGCAATTATCCTGAAGAGTTGTGGTGGTAGTGTCTTTTTTTTTTTTTTAAGACCACTCTTGGAGTATTCTAAAAACCAGTGCTTTGTTTTTATGGGCAAGTGGGGAAAAAAAAGCCTTAGTTGAAAGAATAATCATTTCACTTTCAGATATGCATTACATTGACAGCTTTCTTCGTTATGTGCCTAGGACTACATGCAAGAAATAGTGCTTTTGCCTGGATTAACCTGGTTACCCAGAAAGCTGCATATTCTCTATATTTGCAGCCAGCCACCCCAAATCCTTGGCACTTGTGTCTTTCTTCATTAAGAAAGTAAATCACCACAGAAAGTTCTAAATGGGTGAACTGAGAAGACTGGTCGAAGAAGCAATCAAGAGGGATTTGGACAAACTAGAGCACCTGGGGACATCTGAGCTGAAGTAGTTCCTAGAGTGAAAAACTTCAGCATTGCACCTACTGACAAAAACCAGTCATTTTTCTTTTCCAGCATCTGCCTGTCTTTCTGAAAAGCATCTGTCTGTCTTTTTTGAGCTTAAACAGTTGGAGATGTTAAAGGAGCCTGTGTTCTGAGGATACTACCTGTCAATGAGGTGATAGCAGAAAGAAACCTGTGACACATAGGATGCACACATGGCATTGCTCTGATCTTTCAACTCCCATCCCTACATACAAAGAATAGAAAAGATGGGCAGATCTATATGCAGCTGCACAATGAAACAAGGGAGACCACACATCTTATTCATCCATCTGTCTCATGCAACAAGTCTCCCTCCCAAAGAGAAACTGACAGCTCCTCACTGGAAAGGCAACCCAAGGACAAGATTAGTTCTTTCACCAGGCTGGAGGACACTGGCAAGCCCATGCATGACTTTTTCTAAACCTACATTGTAGTTCACCCACTGGCTCTAGTCAAAAGTGCACCAGTTCTGCGCAGCTTGTCAGGTCTTCAATAGAGTTAAATCTTCTGTTCCTGTGATTCTCAGGAACTGTTCTTGTCCTAGTGAGCTGCAAGGGCATTCATCTGGTGATAACTCATCACTCTTTGAGATGCAGCAGGCTTCAAAAGCAAAGACATTTGGGGGTTTATTTATAAAAGCAGCAATTTTGATGAAGTTATCCATGCCTGACAAGTGGCAAGCAATATTTAGGTAACTTCTTTGTATTTGGATGTGCTGTGGGGATAGAGAAATCTGTAGGTGAGAGGTACTTGCCAATTTTCAGTGCAAAACAACCTAAACCAAAGTATACCGACGTCAGCATATGTGCCTCAGTATCAATGCAATTTAGAGGAATAGGATCAAAACAGATCTAAGGATCTAAAACTTTAAAAAAGATTAGAACTCTGGAGGCAGTGATACAAGACTCCTAATTATGGCTTGAAACGTGTGCACAAAGGTTTCCAGGTTTACTCAGCTCCTAAGTTGTTAATGTAAGTCATTGTATGAACTGACCTTTCTAAATTAACTCAGAACTCTGTAACCTCTAGTAATTCCATTATTTTCAGTCATAGTTTTTCTTCTCTTTCATGTGTAAAAGCAGTGGAAACAGACTCATGGAAACCTGGACTGAGCCTTTTTGACACAGGTAAATATTTTAAGCATCCAGTAACTAGTAAGGGAATAAGTGGTTTCCATCATGGGAAAAGTTAAATCTATTTATTCATCAGGTCTGTGACACTGGTGATAACAATCTCATTTTCTGAAGTAATTACAGCATGTAAAATTATAAAGAAGGTATGTCGTTTACATCTTAGTAAATTATTCTGTGCTTGCATCAGTCTCAAGTTCCTGCCTAAAGCAGGAGCAGAGCAGATGAGTTCTGGAAAGAGTTGGCAGCAACACTACAGGAAAAGAGTTCTAGCTACTGAAATCCATTTGTAAATGACAAAGTATTTTGGAAATGTCACAGCTGGGATCACAGTCTAGAGCTGCAATCAGATTATTCTGATGTCAATATACTTAGGGGAGACATTCAGATAAGAAAAGGAGGATTTAAGCCAAATGTAAAGAATAATGAGCATCACTGAAATTTTCTGACATTTTAGCCTTAAAAACTGGCACCCTGGAGATGATAAGATTTTATAAATACTGCTGAGGGGAATTGCTACATTTGTAGCAAGCTCTAGGAGCCACAAGACCAAGACTTGTGCAACCCTTGATCAAGAGCAGTTATGAACTGCAGATTCTACATATTCAACATTTAAGGGCCCCCTTTGCTCAGAAACACTAAAAGCAGACTACACAAGCTAACAGGTCAATTCATGACATGGAACTCTCTCTCTTACAAGGAGCTTGACCATCCAATATAAGACATCTTTTCCATCACAGTTTTCTTGCTATAGAGGGCCATGCTGGTGCCCTTGTAAAAACCATTCCCTGGAGTGCTCTGCTTACTTCAGAGCTGAGGCACGACTAATCCTTGCACTGGTTGTGATGAACAACAGCATAACCCATATGCATTACCTTGCGAATCCAGGGTCAGCAGCGATAGCTGTTGAGGCAAAATTTGCATCATCCCAAACACGGACAGATCGCCCTTCTCCAGCAGCCTGAGCCAAAGAGAGGAAGCACTTCTAGTCTCTGTAGCTTAAGCCATTAGTGTGCTTATTTGGGAAAAGCTCTAGGGCCAGGGGTGCAGAGGGATATTTTGAGGCAGAAAATGACAGATTGCACTACATGCAATGAAAGGTTGGGCATGGGGGAAGGGATGTTGTATCCACAGTTTCTCAGCAACTGAAGTGGCAGCGTAGACTAGTGTGATAAAGTCTGATGAATTCAGATTGTCACTTCAGAGGAATTGTTCCTGGTGTGGATGTAGTCGCTGCTGTCTTACTCAAGTGAATGGGAAGTTTAATCAGTGTGGACAGCTGCGACAATCAGTGAAGGGAACTTTAATTAGCATGGCGTAGACTGCCCATGCAGCAAGTTGAAATTCCCATGGCAATACCAATGTTAAATTGGACTGGCAGAGCAGGGAGGCCCATAGAGACTACCCACCTTCCCAATTAGTTGGGGAAGAGCATTTGGTGGGTGACCTTATTGTTCCACTAAGCACAAATCAGCCAGCTGACCCACAGCCTTCAAGAACTGGTGATTGTACTGGCAAATAATAATAATAAAAAAATGCTGCACTGCCTACACTTAAGTTTTCTATACCAACAAAGCTCATGCCAGCTGTATCCCTGGAAAAGGGATATGGGTTTCACTGGATACAGATAAGTGCATGAGGCAGATAACTATGATTTAGCTTCCGTATACAATTTAGCTGCTAAAGTGGATGGCATATGTTAATATCTAATTTCACCACAGTGTTAAATCCACCTACTTTCTGTTCTGCAAATAAGGTAAGGTTGGGGGGGAACTGCACATATGGGATACCAAGCTGGCATATGTGAGGTATGCAGTGTGCAGGCTGCAGGATGAAGTGTGGCTTTGGTCTGTTACTGAGAAACTATGACATGCCTGTGTAATCAAATACTGGGTTTTTTTAAGAAAAAAAACATTAATCATTTTCATCCATGTGGTTGACAAAGAGAGGATGAGTATGGATCCAAGACATGTTGCCCTTAACTTCCACATCAGATAAGCCCACCATAAGCCTGCATAAGATTTGCCTTGTGCCCTTCCTCCAAAGGCAGATTTGGTCCCTGTCAGCAAGACTTTCAGCCTGAGAGAGAGATCAGAAGTGTTTGCTGCCGCAAATGTCACTGGACAGAACTGTTTGGTGTCACCCTTGTTCCACATGATTTTTCCTCAGTCAGGAACAAGCACCCAACCTCAGGTAGTGCTGCCCCAGCACCACCACTCTGCCTCTCCCTAGTGACGTTTCCCACATCCAAATGCACCTCCCATGGGCAAACACACACCACAGGGGAGGCACACTCTGCCCTGACCCTTGCCTGGGAGCTCATCCCAGGTGTGCAAAGAAGAGAGAGGCTTTCCAGCCCACTTTTGAATGGGTCTAGCCTGCTCTGGCACAAGAGGGCCAGTTCCACTAACTGTGGGGGCAAGGCATAAGAGCCAGTGTCAGGATGGGTGGAGAGCTCCTATTCCCTGTCCAGAAAGTATCCTCCAATGCTTGGGCAGGAGTACAGAGAGGCTGCATGTGGGGCTGTAGGCATCACAGAGCACCACGTACACAGCACCAAAAAGTGACAAACAGTCGTAACCTGGCCAGACATATCCAGGGAAATTCTCAAACAAAACACACAAGGTAATCGCCAGCTCTTGCCATAAACAAAGTAGAGCTACTCTTTGTGCCTTTTATCTACTTCATTCATAGGTGACCACAAGGGCTCCTGTACAAGGCTGAGCCCAGTGCTCAGCTTTGTGTCCTAGTTTTAGTGACAGGGCAACAGCAGATGCCTGGAGACAAGCAAAGGAGAAGGAAATCACACAGGGCTGCTGTCAGCGGGTCTGTATAGTCTGCAGTAGAAACTTTTTTCACTGGTAGCTGAATTGAAAACTAAGAAACCAAAGCAACCTGTCCCATACGAATGCTGCATTGTGCCATGGCCTCCCAGCAGGGGAGCAGGCACCAGGCCAACTTTACACTAGGTCCTGCATACTCAGACTTACTACAAACGTGGCCCCTGACACAGAATTATGCACAGCTTTCAGCATGCAGGTAGAAGGACTCCAAGAGGTTATATTTGAGAATTATGAGGGATGGATTATTAGACTTAACTGGAACAGAAATAGGAGTGGTGACAGAGGGAGGTGGAGTTTGTATTTCCCCCCATTTTCTTGGCAGTTTTCTGCATTAATATGGCTTGGTCGTTAATACATTCAGCAACCAGCTTAGGTTGTTACACCTCCCCTCATAATCAGTTGGTGACCTTCCCTGATGTCCCTTGACAGACACTGCTCTCATCCTCAGCTTGCTCATGGCTGGCTGCTGTGTGTAGACAAACTCTGTGGCACCTAGCAATTTCTCATCTTTTTTCTATATTAAGCTCACATTTTCTGAATTTACTTTTTTACTCTCTCTCCAAAGTCTGTAGTCTCTCCTTGACTTATTTGATGAATACTTTAAGGAAGTCTTCCTCCTCCTTTTCTTATAAAAATGAATGTGCTGTTTACAAAATAATAAGCTGTTTTGGTGTTCTTCAGACCAACTGCTTTCTTGGTGAGCGTTCAGTTTGTGGCTTGCCTGATCACTGATGTCTCCTCTGAGGATTATCCCAGCTAAATCCCCTAATCTTTTCATGCTGTAGTGAAAAGGAACAGCTCTTTGCCCTTGCTTGGAAGGGAGATACTGCACAGTAGGAGACACTTGCCAGACGTTCGAGTCATGAGTGAAGTTCAGTATTTTCAGACCTTCTGATGCCAGCCTAATGGTGCCTTGTGAATCAATGCATCTCACAAGGACATAAACTCATGTTGCCAAGGCTGCTACCACCCAAATACCTCACCGAAGTCCTGAGCTAAAATCTACTAGTGGCCCTTAAGACCTTCCTAACTTAACTATATCTCTCTGACACCATTTACCCTCTCTCTTTTGTGCTTTGGAAAATAACTCAGTCCTCTGGGGGCACCCAGGGAGCTGTGGCTTGCATTATTTTCCCAGCTATAACACGGCAGGGTGAGTCACTCATTACCTGTGCCTTCCTCTCCAGACAGAAAAGCAACGTGCTAAACCTGTTGCTCATCTGCTTCAGACTGTGCAGCTCACTGTAAGGCATGGTGAGCCAGCGGGGTGGCAGTGCCGGTTCTTGGGGGCGAACTGCTATGGAGTCACCATCCCACACTGCGGCCACCAGCCTCTGCTCCTGAGGAGCCCTCTATTTGTGCATGCTGCTCTCAAGCCCTGGTAGTTAGGGCACTGACCCCCAAATGGGATTATTCAAAGTTGGTGTTTGGAGAGAACTGTCTCTGCTCTTGCTCTACCCTAGAAGTGATGTAGGTGGAAAAAGGTAAGCTCCAAGTAGCTTACCCCCCATTCCCTCCCACATCACTCCTCAAGCCAGGGGATCTCTGCAGTCACTCTGTTGCCTGCTTCCTTACAGAACAAGGGTAGCTACTAAGCACACACCGATGGAGCCTTTCGTTTCTCTTTCTAGGCTTCGGTTCAAACGAAGAATTGAATCCGAAGCCGCTGGAGTCCATCTCCCAGGGTAACCAGAGTACGTCCTTCAGAATTAATTTCATAATTAAGCCATGCCATATTATCAAATACATATTGCTAGCATGCATTCAAATTAGATAGCAAAAGGTAAGTTTTTGAGAAAGCCTGCGAAAATCCAGGAACACATTTTTCTCTTGCAGAGAAAGAGCGAGCACTCTCTGCCGCCCCCTCTTATACATGTAATTGGTTTTTGCTTCTACAAGAAAGGAAATAACAGCCAAAATTTAGCTCACCTGGGCAGGCAGATGGTGGCTGCTCACTGCTGCCTCTTCCCAGGCTGCCTCTTCCCAGCTCCATGCTCCTAGGGTGCAGAGCTTCTTCCCTCAGGGACTTTGATGGCAGAGGACAGCAATCCAGTGTGTGGCAGCCAGGGCTAGAGAAGTGAGCCCTGCTGACCAGAGCAGACTCCCATGGGTATGCTGTGTGTGGGTATCCTTCCCACAGCAGTGGGTGGGAGGGAAGGAAATCACCTAAGAAAGGGACCTGGTACCTGCCACAGCAAGGAGAGAGTGGATGCAGAGGGGGCATCACGAATCCCTCAAGTCCAGTGAGGAAAATGCAGGCTCCCCTACTCTAAGAAGGAAATCTTCTATGCCCTTTCTAATTAAAGGCAGATTTGCCCATTAACTTATCTTTAGATGGGGACCAGAGTTGAAGAAGAAAGAGAAAGCAAGCTCTGAGTGGAGAGACGGGATTGTCTGCCCCCTCCTCATGAGAAGCCATCTCGGAGAGGGGGCTTCACCCTCCCAGCGGTGCCTGGGTCTTCTCTTGCCCACCCGCTGGCAGCTGAACGCTGACTGGACTCTTTACATGAACTACTGAACCAAATGTCTATATATTCCCAGGCGCTCCTCCTAATACTTAAAACTATTATTTTCCCTACCAAAGATGTCAAATACACCTGAAACTGATACAGACACAAGGGAAAGAAGAAAAGGGGAAGGCTCTGCCCTACAGACCCCATCACACTGCAGGAAAGCAGAGCTCAGTGCAGCAGAGACGCAGGCAAGGACATCTGTGTTTCTAGCAGTTGAACTGAGATAAGACACACCAGAAGCAAAATTCTCATCCTGCTGATAACTCTAGGATCATAAAATCTCTAATTCAGATCTTGCCTCCCTGCAAATCAGAAAGTGCTCACCTCCCTATGAAGTACCTTTAGCCTGTGCTCTTGCAGTGTCCCAGCACCAAAATACTCCCGTTGTCCGAACCCTCCCAGAAATTAAGTCTGTATATGTATGTAAATCTTTGCATACTCAGACCCTGCTGGCCAACAAACTGCCTACTTTCCACATATAGACCTCATGGTGTATCTCCCTTTGAAGGAGAAGAAATTTAGGAAAACTTGGCCGTTAATTGAGACATTTGTTGTCGGTTCCTGACCTTGCCTCACGATCTGCTGTGAATGGACAAAGTTCTCAGTCACGGTCCTGTAATTCAGCATTATTAGAATTAGAAAAAAAGAGACAGCTAAGGGAGAAAAAAATTGAAGGTAATGAGATGGGAGGAAGTTGCATAAGCCAGTAAGAACAATTGTTGCTTTGTAGCCTTCAGGCTACCTAATGATTAAAACACACTAGTTTGGACAGTCTGATTGGTAGGAGGCATCATCACGGGGGAATCAAGAGATAGGGATGACCCAGATGCCAGAAGGGGAAAATGTTAATTAGTGCTCCAGTTAAGCCAAATTTTGATCCCACTCCTGGTCGCACACCAGTGATGAACGTTTCACCACTAACTTTCAGAGACACGAGAGCAGGCTGTCAGTGATGAAGACAGCATTTGCAGAAGCACAAAGATGAGGTTCATCTGTGTCATTAAAGGGAAGAGCTTGTTTGGGTGCAGACATACCTTTCCTAGAACATTGTTTCAGCTCAGAGAGGCAACACACAATAGCACACTTCTGCTGCTGCTGCTGCACACACAGGTCCACAACAATATGTAAAAAACCAGCTCCCTCTCAGTCTGAGCAAAACAGGCAAAATCCTCTTCCCTGATGTGAGCTCCATCCCAGAATGAAAGTAAGGAACTATTTTCATTCAAAAGTGCAGAGTTGCCAGGATCATTGACAGTAATCTTGGATTGTAATCTGCTTGAAAAGACCCCATGGCTTCCTTCCCCTGAGGCACATCTCAGGCATCACACATTTTGGGAACTTCCCTCCTTTCTGAGCAGCGTTAACATCATATGTGAAGAACTGTGCCTGTTATGTCTATTTTATCAATTAAGTCCACAGAAGTATAACCAAGGAAATCCCTGTAGTTTGTGCTCTGCAGGTGGCCAGACCACAAAATCCAAGGATCATGGCTGGCTTTACAAACTCCCACCACCTCTGGACTGCAAATAAAGCATGCTGAGCCCCAGCTGTGGCTCTGAGGGCACAGGATACAAGTCAGCTTGCTCTTGCATGGCTGACCTCTCTAGCCACCAAACGCAGTGCTCCCAGACTGATCCCTGGGAAAAGATTCTTGCCCTTTTGTCACACAAGCTCAGAGGTTGTTTGGTACAAAATTATGCCAAGAAGTGTGTTTATCAATGAGTAGGACAGACTTGAGCCCCCAGCTGTGATTTGTCCTCGTCAAAGGCTTTTCCCAGAGTTTGCACAGCAGGACAAATCACTGGATGCAGACATTTTAGGCCTTTGCTGCTCACAAGAAGCACAGCTATCAGAAAGGACTAAAAATATCTTCCACGTTTCTTTCTCTCTCCTCAGATTGCAAGGTTGATTTGTCCTTCTTAATGGATGGAAGCTGGAGCATTGGCAAACGCCGCTTTCAGCTCCAGAAGCGGTTCCTTGGTAACGTGGCTCAAGCCCTTGGCATTGGCAGTGCTGGTCCTCTGATGGGCATCGTTCAGTATGGGTAAGAGTTCCTGGCGCAGCTACTCCCATTAGCACAGGGCATGACTGCACAAAGCCGATGTGTGCTAAAGGTCTCAGTCCAGCTCATACTCAGGAATCAGGTAGCACAGATCAGTCCTACAGCTTTTGTGCTGTATGTGAAGCAAAACACTGATACTTGCTCTCATTTCTTCTTTTAGCGATGACCTTTCCACAGAATTTAACTTAAAAACTTATGCCAACTCCAAGGAGATAAGAAACGCCATTGAGAAAATTCAACAGAAAGGGGGACTTTCCAATGTTGGTAGGTGATGGGGCTACTTACATATCCTCAGGTCAGGAAGGACTTAGGAGGCTGGGCTATAGCAAGCCCACATGTCCTCTTGGGGACAGAGGCTGTGACCAAACAGTGCTCAGTGCTAGGACAGCACTGGTGAGAGGGCACTGCTCCCATCATGGCCTGCATGTGTTGGTGCAGGGCACTGCAAATCCATCACAAGTGGAGAGGAGAGACCTATCTCCTTGTGGGCAGTTCCCATTGTACTCTGGGAATCCTTGCTAACTCAGCTCATCACTCTGAGCTTCTCTGGAAGGGGGTTCAGCACAGGAGGGCTCAGGAAGCACTGACACTGATAAAAATTACCTCCTTCCCACTCATGCAGCCACAGAAACTGCTTTCCCCAGCTCTCTGCAGCCTCCAGTGCTCGAGTCAGCCCTGTGCCTACCATTTCATGGGATATTATCAGGCAGAGCACTTCCAGATCTGTAACTCCTCAACTCCTCTTTTATTCCAGGGAAGGCACTTTCATTTGTTAACAAAAACTTCTTTTTGGATGCTAATGGAAACCGAGGTGGAGCACCCAACGTGGTTGTAGTGGTGGTGGACGGGTGGCCGACCGACCGAGTGGAAGAGGCCTCCAGGCTGGCCAGAGAATCAGGGATCAACATTTTCTTTGTCACTGTTGAAGCAGCTGCTCAAAATGAAAAGCAGAATGTTATTGAACTGAACTTTGTGGACAAGGTATTTAGTAGGCTGGGTCTGGCCAAGAGCTTGGCTCTGACTGTGTTTTCCAACCTATTTAATTCAGGGCATTTCCCTTTCCTACTTACCTTTATGGTTATTTCTTGTCCTGCTTGTATGTACAGTCCTGAGATCTCCTGTACAAAAAGCCAGGCAGTAATGCAGAAGTCAGAATGAAGTTCAGTAAAGCTCTAGTTTGAGATACATCATAGGGCAAATGGCTTTTGACTGACTAAACACAGGCACACAGCTGCAGTCATACTGAGGTGAGAGGTTTTCCAAGTATACGGCAGCATGACAAAGCAAAATTGCAGCCTGAGCTTTTAATGAGCCTACTGCTGTGCATTTCCCACCCAGCAAAGGGTGAGAAGCCCTGTCAGCCTAATATCAATGTTGCATTTACAAACAGGTCCCATACAAGTGAATGTGGGGACAGTCGCAACATAAGCGCATCCTAGTTTTTCAGCTATGCTGGGTACCTCAAGCATTTTGTTTCCCCTGTTGATGCAAATTATTTTTCAGTTATTTGTTTCTAACTCCATGGTAGCTCTTAGAAAAAGAGTAAATTCCTGCCATGTCCAGCTAAAAATGAGAATGCAAGCCTTGATCGATTTGTATTTGGCACCAACAGTAGCTGCCTGCTCAACAGCGCTTCAGGGCAAGCTGGCACCCAGTTACAGCAGGAGATATCGGTATACCAAGTGCCAGAATGGGCTGGGCTCAGGAAACAGAGTTGAGTTATCTGTTATTTTCAAAAAACAGATTCCAATCTGAGCTGAGTTGCTCTGCCATAGATCATTCCCACGAGTTTCAGAGCTGCTCCAGAGAGCTGTGTTGTCTGGTCAGCATTTAAGTGGATTGTAATCTCATTTGCATTTAATATTTTTAAGAGAGTAAAGGTACAGTGAGGCAAGCCTGCCAGGGACACAGCAGAAGTGGGAGTAGAGTGGACTCAGAATAGGAAGGTAAAGAAAGACTTGATACTGCTGCATCGTAACACTAAAATAGAAGCAAGACAGGAAGAAGAGCAAATGAGGGCAGCACACTGTGAGGAGCCCAGACTGGAGGGAACTGTAACTTCCTTGGAGCTGTTAGGCTTTATGCAAGTGCCTTGGCCTTTTAAAATAGTCAGATACACACACCATCACTAAGTTGGTAGATAAACCCTGGCTTAACAAAATATTCTTATCCAGAGACCTGAGGCATTAACATTTATAGGGCATTAAAGCCAAGGACAATTTGATCCTGCCTGTTCACATACTTTCTTTCCCGTCCCCCCACTTGACTTCTCCCATTTCCTCTTCTGCGCCACCCCTATTTCCTACCCACACTCACCTGACTCCCACTATAGAAGCCTCCCACAGATCTGGCCTCTATGAGTATTTACTTATAAAAGTTAATGATTTTTTTGTTTGTTTTTTACTATTAGGCAGAGTCAGCACACTGGGCTTTTTCTGCTTAGAAGGGTATGAGCCCAGGATAACCCAAATTAAGCCCCAGGTTTCACTTCAGGGTAGTAGGGTTTCTCAGCAGGGAAAACTTTCCTCGTTGCCCTGAAGGATGGGAGCTGCAGTTGCTTCCCAGCAAACACACAGGTTCCTATAATGCTATTGGAGCCATGCTAACAGAAGCTCTGTAACTCATGTAAAAAAGCTCGACAGGTGGTAAACTTCCTTATTACATTTCTTTCACTACTTGAATATCAGCTCCATCCCCTAGCTTTTAAAAAAAGGCAGGAAAAACTTTCACATTACAGAAGTATCTGTGATGTTCCATTGACATCATTTCCCAGGGAAGCAGATGGTGACTGGAGGAGAGGCCATTTCAGACTCCAGCATTGCTCTTTCCAGGAGCCTATATTTACAGTTTAGCTACATATCCCAGCAGAAGCAGGCAGATTGGATTTCCACTGCGTTCATCCTTGTGTTGCCTTGCAGGCAGTGTGCAGGACAAATGGTTTCTATTCCATCAACGTGCCCAGCTGGTTCAGCCTACACAAGGTGGTCCAGCCCCTGGTGAAGCGGGTCTGCGACACCGACCGGCTGGTTTGCAGCAAGACTTGCCTCAATTCAGCCGACATTGGTTTCGTCATCGATGGCTCCAGCAGCGTCGGCACCAGCAACTTCCGCACAGTCCTCCAGTTTGTAGCCAACATCAGCAAGGAGTTTGAGATTTCAGACACAGACACCCGAGTCGGGGCCGTTCAGTACACCTACGAGCAAAGGCTGGAGTTCAGCTTTGACAAGTACAGCACGAAGGAGGATGTGCTGAGTGCCATTAGAAGGATCAGTTACTGGAGTGGTGGGACCAGCACGGGGGCAGCCATCAGCTACGCCTCAGAGCAGCTGTTCAGCAAATCCAAACCCAACAAAAGAAAGATCATGATTCTCATTACAGATGGCAGGTCTTACGATGACGTCAGCGTGCCAGCCATGGAAGCTCACCGAAATGGTAAGGTCCTCTATCACTACCTGCTCTCCCCACGTGTCTCAGCATTTTTCCAGATAAATGCAGTTTGCTATGATGTGACAGCACCAGAAGAAACTTGATGAAGGAAGAGTAGTACTTCACCCTGGGGTCTCTTTGAGCTCTAACAAGATCAGCAACTGTTTAACACCTGAATAACAAACTTCAGGGGAAAAAAAAATCGCATTAATCATTGTAGATGCAGCTATGTCTAGGAGATCTCAAGGGATTTCTACTATCTCAGTAACATGATTCCTTTGGTTTTCCAGTCAGGATAGTTATATCTTCCAATACATTTGCACTGGAATAAGAAGTTTTTGTTCAGAAGCCTGTTGCTTAGACCCAGAACGAAAGCTTTACTATTGTTTAAGCCTTTTTTGTTGTTGGCAAAAGGTGCTTCTAAAGCACTAATTAGACCTTTCTTCCAATCTGAAAATATCACTTTTATACAGAGAGAGCACTCTATTTCACTGTCCACTTTTTTGTGGCCTGGAAACTACATTTGCAGGATTGGTCTTAAATTAAATTTAATGCAAAGAAAACTTTCATGCTTATTCTATTTCTTTCCAGGAGTCATTGCTTACTCCATTGGAGTTGCTTGGGCAGCCCCAGATGAACTGGAAGCCATTGCAACAGACCCTGCTAAGGAGCATTCCTTCTTTGTGGATGAATTTGACAACCTCTATCGCTATGTTAATCAGCTCATCCAAAACATTTGCACAGAATTTAATTCCCAGCCACGGAACTGATGGACTCAAGCAAGGCAGGACCCTTGGCACCATGCTGAAGGCACATCAAGTGCCAGGGAGTAATGCCAGCCCTCAGTACAAAAAACACTGAAGGTGTTTTCCTCTGGCACTTTCCAGTCAGCAAGGTTGATTGCAGCTCCTATGGCCCCTATGCATGCTCTGTGTAGACTGTTGATGTTTTTTTTTTTCCCCTTGCAGCCTTCAGAAACTCTGATTTGGACGGATAGCTACAGAGGCAGTAAACACGGAGGAAATAAATGCAGCAGTTTGAATAGCTGCTTCCAGAACAGAGCCCCAGCTTGCCCAATTCTCACCTTTGGACACACACAAGCTCCTTACAATGCACCACCTGCTCCCTGAAGCAGCCAGGTCCCTTCAAGGTGGCCATACTGCCGAGCAGCTGCGGCAGAAGCACCTCTGTTGAAACTGCCCACCAGATGACACCCAGATAAGGGCTGAAAGCTCAGATGCTTCTTTTGGAGGGAGACCATAGCTCAAATTTGAGTGCCTTCTTAAAAGCAGGCCCTCACTCCATACTGCTGTCTTGCCAGCCTGTCAAGCTTCAGCTACTGTTAACTCCAGCACTGAGATTTATCGAAACCCTGTGAGACTGGAAAACAAGTGAGGGGAAAAGGTCAAGCTCTGGGACCATACAACCCTTTGCCAACTCCAATAAAGCCCCAAATCCACAAGGCAGGCAACCTGCAAGAGCTGGAATCTAGTCTCCTTCAATACTGCATTAATATTTGATTTTGAGAAGTATCTTGCCTCCTTAGCCCTCTTCCTCTGCTCTTGGGTGGCTCAAGGCCTGCAGGATCACAGAAAAGTTGCCAGGACAGAGACTCTGAGAAAAGTTGTGGGTTTAAGTTGCTCACACTCAGAAAAGCATTTGAGACCTACCACTTTGTTGTTAAACCACTGCTCAGAACAGCTTACAGCAGTTTCTAGTGCTAGGAGAGCTATTCAAGAGCCATTAACAGGATATAAAATGGAACTGCCTTAAATCTGTACTATATACTGGGAAACACAGCATTTCAAGCATCTACAGACACCTTCTCTCAAATTTGGGATAGACGTATGTTTTATGGATTGATTTCAAAATGTAGATACTATGGCCCTGGACAAGTCAAAACACACAGTGGTTTCTTAAGTGAAGAACTACTCATATCACTAGTCAGTGAGGGGGGACTGACATACTAGGAAGACCAAAGGAATAGCACTTTAATTAGGAAGCAGCAGTTGTTGGTTAGCTTTCACCCAGCATAATTTAAGAAAATATGTTCATTAAGCAAGATTATCAAAGCGTCAATAAAAATGTATGTGTTCACACACCTTATGGCAATCAAATGCCGCATCAGGCTCGTGGAACTAACAGGAAATGGGAAGAAATTAAAACTCAAATATCCCATATTACTTGCAAATCAAGCTTTTAACAGCATTTATAGTTTTAATAACCATGACCCAAGATATTTATTAGCCACATAAAAATTTAATCGAAATTAATTGCCACAAGGGAAACTCCTTTCTGTCGGCAAAAGTAGCACAATCTTTTAAATAGTTACATTTGGAAATGTGATTGAAAAAAGTGCCAATTAAATAAGCATAATACAAACTAATGAAACCAACAGATTTTGCATGATCCCCCTGGTGTGGTAACATAAGCCAGGCTGGGGATCTCTCAAGAGGTTATCAAAAACAGTCCTGGAGGAAACAGTGGTTTTACACAGGGAAGGTTCAGATCTTCCTCTTAGAAGAACATCATCAATTGAACAATGCTACCCAGACAGAAGGTGCAGGCCACTGCCAGCTTCCAAAAAAAATTAAAACAAAACTGTAAAATATATTTGTATGCAGAATTGTTAACACTAATCTGTGCTGCTGCACTTCCACAGCAATAATTTCTTGGCTTGAAAAAATGATTACGAATAGAGTTAGGTATGAGCAGAGTAACTCCTAATACTCCCCATCTCCCACCTCCTCACTACTGTTTGGTTGAACAAATCTTTCTCTGTCAACAATGAACATTACATGGGCTGGACAAAACTCAAACATATGAACTGAATTTAATGGGGACTTCAGTTCACACACCAGATTCATTGTCTGAGAACTGTTTGCTTGGGGCTTGATTTGGGGCTAGCTGAGAAAAAGACCGAAGTCTTAACTTATACCTGCTCTTAATATTGTGGCTTAATTTTTAATGCAACAACTTACCATCACATATTCTTCTCCACGCTGACTGTACTGTTGTGGCACATAAGATCGGTACCCCTCAGAGACTCCCCAGTGTTTCACTTGTGCTCTGCAGGAAGCACAGCAATGACAGCTGAGATATTAGGAACAGCTAGAGCCACCCATGTTATCTAGGATATGCATAAGGGATATATGCATATAGGATATAACTTCTTCCTAAAAACTTAAACTTTAAGCAATGACAGTAAGCTTTCAAGAGCTCTTTCACGGGGAAGTTGCAGAGCTATCTTATGTCAAGCATTTATAATGGGCACTTCAGAGTTTGTTGTTGTTTAAATGGTTTATCTTAAGTTTACAGAACAACTATGGTGCTCGTTTGCCAATGTATATTTTTATTTACTTCTTTGGATGACCTTGAAATTGTTGGATCTCAAAGTGTGAAAGTGGTTTAATTCAACTCTCATCTAAACTTAGATTCATAAACATTGTAAACTTAAGCAGAAGCCTCAAAACTTATAAGAATACACTCTTCCATTTACAAAAGCAACACACTCCTCTCAACCTTTACCTTTCATAGCAATCAAATTACTTGCCACCTACAAAAGTCTCTTAACACTGTTATTAAAAAACAAGATAACTTACATATATATCTTGATAAATGTTCAAGGAGGTATATTTGTTTCAGGAAAACAGCAGAACTCCCTCTGTACCATATACAAGCTATTTTGAGCTTATCAATTGCTATATCTTTTGCAATAAAATTGTCTTAAAGGCATATGCAGTGCATGTCATCTCATATGGGTTTAAAAAATAAACACCAAATATGGCCCATGCCATTTTAGTTTCTGAAGCACAGCTGAGGTGATTACTGCATTATGGAAGATTGGCAAAGCCTCAGGTGCTTCAATATCCTTTTACATATTCAGATGTAAAAAATCCTTAGAGCTATCTCAAAGTTATCTGTCAGAGGAATCAGTCACTGAAGCAGAGTCTAAGGACTGAAAGGCATCAAAGACATAAATATTTTCCCAAGGCTGCAAGATTATGTCTTATTTGGAGCTAGGCTTCTTTTGGAAGTGGGTGGGGTAGGAAAAATCACAGAGTTTCTACACACTTTCTAGAGGCAGGACTGAATCAAGAGAGAATTTGGATGTCCAGTTGCTTGATGGTGGGCCACTTAGATGCCTGACCCGTGCAGTGGAACCTGCTGTCTGACAGAGGCATCCCAGAGAAGGGCAGAGGACAGGTCCCACCCAGAACTGGGAGCTGTCTGAACTAGTCCCTGGATACCCATTCTAGAAGGTGTTGTCTGATCACCCTCTCCCTAAGAAAGAAGCATTTTTGCACTCAAAGAGTTGAGCTGGTGGCTTATCAGTGCTCAGCAATCACAGCGCAGAACACCTACCTGGAAATAAATACTGATATCCATGCTCTGGAAGCCTTGGCAGAGCTCAATCTTAGCACCTCTTGCCTCTGACTCCAGTATCAGCCACTCACATTCTCAGGGAGCCACCAAATTCAATTAAAAGTTCAGGCATTGCTTCACAAAGAGGTAACTCAAAGTCCTGTTTCCCAGAGTGAGACACTCAGCACTTCTGCTGTCACTGTGCCACCCTGCACAGAAGGTATTGCCCACTGTGTGCACCTTCCTGTTCCTCAGCTTTTCTGGTTAGGCAAGAGGAGGTTTTCTCCAGGGCTGCTGCTGACAGGTGGGTAGAGAAGGTTTCTCCTTCCTCCTTGCATTCCTTCTCCCATGGCTCTCCAGCACGAGGTGAGCCATTCCAGTAACAAGGAAAAGCTCTGGGGTTAAACATCCAGCCAGGACCAACCCAATCTAAACATGTTTAGTGGATTTAACACCTTACCTGTGAACTCCACAGAAAATTATCCATGTTATCTACTTAGCAAGTCAAAGCAAGCAGTAAATATCAAGAAATATTACCTAGACACCAAATTTAAATCAGTCTTCTGTGGTATACATACCTTAAATTACTTCATGGTTGAAAGAAGTCATATCATTCTGCTAGCTATTTTTCTCTGCCCATGAGCAACATTATGGAAACAACTTGATCCCTTTTCTTTTCCTTTCCCATCTAATTTTTAGAAATCTTAGTCAGTACCAGACAATCTACATTTGCCAAGTCACCTACATACTGCAAATGTACATCTACACAGCTCAGTGCTTCAAATTCCTCAAGGTAATCTTTTTTTCCTTGTTAAAAAATTAAACTGGGGGGGGGGGTGTATGTGTGCAGTATCACAGGTTTTAGCACTGCATCAGTTACGTTACTTACATTCAACTGTGTCAATCATATTGTATGGCAAGAGACATAAGAGAAATAAGACATTATTTTTCTTAACATCAGTTTCATCCCCTCTCCATTTTCTAATAAAAATTCTGATAAGTTCAAGAACTCCAGCACTCAGAGAAATGACTTCTTTTTAAGTGCAAGAAGAAATGGTTAAAGTTTCCCTGTATCACCAAACATAGTCACTTTTCTCAAACCCAAATCCTCATGGGAACATATCTTGTTCATAGGCAAATCCATAAGCATGCTAGGAAGACCTCCCATGGGAAAGAGTCACTCCTATATTGTTCACAAAATCATCTTTCCCACTACCTCAGGAACCTTCTACTGACCCTCTCTGGAGGCAGAACACTGGGGTGAATGTAATTGTATTGTCAATTCATACAGCAATTACTCCTTTCCTATGAGGCAGGAAGATGAGAAGGACCAAATCAGAAGGGTTATTTTACACCTACCGTGAAGACGAGATAAGAACTTCACTTATCCCACCTACAAGCTTAGAAAAAAACAGGATGGTCTGACTAACAACCAGTTGTTCTGCTCAGTTCTGTGTAGGTTCCCATACCACCCCCTCACAGTGCCATTCTGAGCACCTTCCTGTAGCAACATGACTACCATCTGTGATGTGTGGTTTGCTCTCCCTCATCCTCTCCCCAAGGGCAGAACCATACACTTATTTTTATTTTAAATGAATGCTGTCCTCAGGAAGTGCACTGTGTCTGGTTGAGATTAACGCACTGCAGACAGACCAGCTCCTGCACAACAGCACCACACCCACACCACACCCCTGCTCACCCCATATTCACCTAAGCACGCGGAAAGACGTGGGGTGCCAAAGAGTGCTAATTTGGCAGAGCAGTACAAAACCAAGACATATGGAGAACAGAAGCACTGAGGCATTACTGTGAACGGTGAGACATCACACAGTTCCATAGGAAGTTCACATGGAGTTACCTTAAGCC